CTTAAACGTGTGGTTTTCTTTAGAAGTGTGAATTTTATTTTTTTTTAACATTTTTTTTATTTTTTTTTCAACGTTTATTTATTTTTGGGACAGAGAGAGACAGAGCATGAACGGGCGAGGGGCAGAGAGAGAGGGAGACACAGAATCGGAAACAGGCTCCAGGCTCCGAGCCATCAGCCCAGAGCCCGACGCGGGGCTCGAACTCACGGACCGCGAGATCGTGACCTGGCTGAAGTCGGACGCTCAACCGACTGCGCCACCCAGGCGCCCCTAGAAGTGTGAATTTTAAAAGATAAATCTGTAGGCAGGTAGTAACTGGCTCGAGGCAGCGGAGACCCCAGACCACCCAGCCTCGTCAGCCCCCTGTATGTCCCGCCTCCTTTCACGCCAACCCCTCCGCCTGGCCCCAGGAGGCTCCGCAGGGACCTTGGATCCCAGTCCACACCCGGGCCGGAAGCGGTGGCCGCTGGGGCCGGTGTTCGATGGGGACCCGAGGACGGGTGTGGGCGGCCTGGGGATGTGCCCCGCGCTCTGGGCCCTGTGGCCGGGGATACGGTGCCAGGCCCCCAGACTGGTCAGACTCCTGCCTGGGCGTGCATTCCAGACCGCATTGGGACTGGGAGCTGCTCCGCCTCAGGGAGAGGGAGGGTCCGTGCAGGCCGCCCCCACGGCCGTCTCCGCCATCACAGCAGGTGCCAGGTCGCCCACTGGCCGCCCCCCCTCCGCGTCACTGGCCTCGAAGGCAGCAGACGAGGAGAGGCCCCGCAGCGGAGGCAGGGTCTCTCCAGCGGGCCCCCCCTCTCCAGGTGCGCCTGGAAACTGCTTCTGCTCCCCTTTCGTTTGCTTTCCTTTTCCATCCTTGTTGGCTCTCCTGTTTCTAGTCCCTCCCTGCATTCACTCACCCTCTTTCTTCTTTTACTTGTTAGCTCTTCCTTCACCTGGGTCACCTTCCGCTGGGGCTCCCTTCCGCCCTTCTGCTCCCCTCTCGCACACACTGCTCCCTCCCCAGTGTCTTCGGTCAGAAGGAGGGCTAAGCCAGTCAGTCTTTCTGATGATAAGGCGAGGGTTGCACTCATGGGTGGCTCCAGGGTGCCCGATGCAGAACCCGTGGAGGGGCCCGTGGCCTGCGTACCTGGACCACGTCTCCCTCCTAGCCAGCCAGCGGGGTACCTGGGGGCCCGGGCGGAGACCCAGCCACTGTCTGGCCCCGCCGCCCCTCCCCCCAGGCAGGTTGGGAGGGCCGCACCAGCTCCTCAGGTTGGGTCCGCCAGCAGCTGGGAGGACAGATCAGGTTGTCGGAGTTCAAGTAGGGACTCACACCTGTGCCTCTCCTCTTCCTCCATCCCTTCTCCTGGGACTGGGGATGTGGGCGGGGCTACAGGGGACAGAGAAGCCACAGCTGCCTCACCCCTCAGACAGCAGGACAGTACAGCCTCTGGTCCCCAGACTCCCCTCCCTCCTGCTGGTCTGAGTGGGGATGGGGTCAGGACTCTGGTGCCGTCCCCACACACCAGGCTGTCCTGCCCCCTGCCCCCGCCTGACCTGGGCTTCCTGCAGCATCTTGTACCTGTCTTTGAGTGCTAAGGAGGGGCCCCGAGGCCCAACTCGCAAGTGTCCAAATGCCATCCAGAGCACAAAGGACCCCACAATGAGCCCAGGACCCTGGTTTCTGGTCCTTTCCTTCTCCTGCCCTTGAGCAAGTCCACTTCCTGTCTATTGCCTCGGTTTCCCCAAATGAGACAATGAAAGGAGTGAACTGGGTGAATTCTCCTCCTTGCCAGTTTTAATAGCCTAGATCAGGGGCCCCAGACTTTCTCTGTAAAGGGCCGGATACATCAAGATTTTAGGCTTTGCGTCCACACGGTCTGTTGCAGTAACCCCCTCTGCTCGGCAGTGAGAAAGCAGCCAGAGAGAACGTGTCCTGGCTGTGTGCCGACCACACTTGATTTATGCACACTGACACTTGGAT